ACATCTGACTTGTATTACAAAAAAAACTGACACTCCAGGGGCAGCTGTCGCATGCATGGGCACCTGGGACTATGTACGGACATGACATGCAGATGCAAGGAACCGTGGTAAAAAGAGAGCACAGCAAAGTCTTACGGTAGTAACTTTGCGCAAAGTCAAAAGTTCAGGGGTCAAGGGTCCAACAGCCTCTAGAGCGGCTCCTGAAAGTTCAGGGGCAAGGGTCAAAACAAGGGACCCAATTACCTCTAGAAGTCTAGTCTAGGCCCTACAAAAGTCAACAGTCAGGCCTTGCCAGGTAGAGTAGTCCCGGAGTCAAGTCACCATAAGTTAACCACACCCTTAGATCACACACACCCTAAGGCTCAGAATCTGTTTCCAGATGCATCAAATGCCTACCGGGTCCAGGCACACAGTGATGGCCACAAAATCTAGGCTGGATGTCAACCGTTCAAGGAGGCGCCTGGATGTGCGCTTGCTGGAGACCGGAGTGCTGCTAAGCACGGTAGCGCTGGAGGAAGGCAGTCTGAAGAGAGACACAGTAAGAATAGCGATAGCTAGGTAGAAGGTGGCCTGGCACCATAACGTAGAATGAGAGTAGGAGTGAGGTTTGAGTGAGAGATCATATCCTGTGGTGAGATACAAGAGTAGAGAGAAGCTTACCTGGGCTCATGTAGTGATGCTGCTGTGGGAAGGGAAAAAGTGCTTAGCTTCAAGAGGCCAGCATCACATAGGCCAGTGTTATTCTTCATTGCAACAGAGAGTCATATTGCGTTGTAGAGTGACTCTGCATGTTGGCAAGGGGCTGGAAGAGAGATGCTGGCTTCATTGTTGGTAGAGAGCTAGGACAACGATTGCTGACATAAAGGTAGGAGGCAAGACTGCCCAAGGGTAGAAGGGCAAAGGAGAGAAAGGACAATCCTACTCTTCTTCTTCCTTTGTCTTTGACATTGGTCTAGACATTGTGACACTGAGCACGATGGTGCGAGATTTGCAGGCTTGCATTCATTACACAAACCCCATAACCAAAAAACTACAAAATTCACTTTAAAACTCTCTACTTCAGGAACTGAAGCTACAAAAAAATGTCACACAGATGAATCAAACACAAAAAAGTTAAAAGTTAAAACAGAAAAACACTGTCAAATAGCAAAAGCTAAATTTAGAACCTTGAAAACCTTAAAAACTCTCTACGTACCAACCTGACCTTCGGCCTGAGTGCAGTGAGGAAGTGAAACCACAAAAACAATGTCGCACAGATGAACCAAACACAAACAAGGTTAAAACAGCAAAACACTGTCAAATAGCAAAAGCTAAATTTAGAAGCTTGAAAACCTTAAAAACTCTCTACGTACCTATCTCCCACCCAAGGGAAGCTTGCAGGTCGCAATTATCATCATCACGTAATTTCCACCCAGGCAACAAATGGGTGCCAAATGGTCTTCCTGAGAGCCACAGAACTGAAAGGCATTCCGTGATGCAGACCCCAAATTCGAATTTCGGGGTCAAGGTCTCAGGCCAAGGGAGGCCAAGTCGGTCAGTTTCAGAAAAGTCACAATCGGGTAAACAGTCACATCCCAAAGGCAAAAGTTGCTACTCTGTAAGCAAAAGCCACGTCTCATCCAACAGGCACCCAAACGCAAAAGTCCCAAAGGCACCCGGTAAACAGTCACATCCCAAAGGCAAAAGTTGCATTCTGTAAGCAAAAGCCACGTCTCATATTGAAGAGTCATATTGAAAAGTCACGTCCCACAGGCAAAGGACACTTCTCCAGGCAAAAGTCGTGTCCCAGAGGCAAGCGTCACATCCCACAGTCAAAAGTCATGTTCCACAGATGAAAGGTCGTGACACACAGACTCAAGCAGCAGCACACCAATGAAAATTCAGGAAGAGTACCAGGCCTTGACATTCTGAAGCAAGCAGGCCGTGGGCATGTGGTACCGGGTCCACGTCAGGCCAAAGGAAGCAGAGGCTGGGACAAGTTGAGGCTCAGTCCAAGTCAATATAAGGACTGGCCAGCCACATTTCAGGAGGGATGGCTCATTCGTGCGAAGTGTGGAAGTGCTGTTGAAGCGCTTGTGCACTATCTGCGAATAGCATGCGCATGTGAAATCACACTTTTGATTATCCAACTTGTCATGTATGCAAACAGCGAAACAGCAAATTGGCGACAGGCGCCCACACAGTACTCAAGATATCGTATCCACATAAGAGTTCTCTTCAAACTGGCTATGGCGACTGAGCGCCCACACAACTCACTG